GGGCCAGGGACGTAATGAAATAAGAAGAGGCGCCATGAGATCTGGCGAAAAATCATGGCCCCCGCCATGATATCCCCCCCCCCCTAGTCATCACCTCCCTCTTTGCCGCCCCCGAGTTGTTGCACTGCACTCCGCACATGACTGTCGGAGGCGCCCTTTGTCCGGCGCCGCCGGCTCCCAGCAGTCTCCGTGCCGTGGCCCCCCAGCGGAGGCGGATACCGCCGAGGGAGGCCCGCGCTGCGGGCCCCGGGGGGGTCACCCGCCTCGAACGTATCCCTATGCCTAAGATTGGCACGCCGAAAGGCGATGACAATCTTAGGGATGCGCCCTCGAAAACTGAGGGAGCCCCTAAGATTGGCATCGTTTAATGGGCGAAGAACGGTATAAAATAAACTTTTTCGCCGTCGGGGGCGCCTGTCCCAGTGCGGCTGGAAAGTTTTATACCCTTACGGTGGCACCGTAGGGGTATAAACTTTCCAGCCGCCCCCGACAGCGAAAAAGTTTATTTTGAAACTTTTTTGCTCGCTGAATCGTGATGGGGCGATGCCCAGCATAGGGATACGTTCCTACGTTCCAGGCTGGTAATGGGGGGGCCGTCGGGAGCAGGCCCGGGAGGAGGAACTGGCTAGGACGGACCTCGGGGGGGAAGGCCGAGGGGCCGTTGTGGGCGGAGCCTTGCGGTCGTCGTCGCCGTCACATTCGCCAGCGGCGTCGTCGTCGTGATTGCTGTTTTCGTCGTCGTAGCAGCAGCAGTCTCCTTTGTGCTATCTTCGTAGCCATCGTCGCCGTCGTCGCCATCGCCGTCGATGTAGTCGTTATCGACGGCTTAGTCGTGTTTCTCCTGTCTGGCCTGAATGCTCCTCCCCCTCGTCCTCCTCATCCTCCTCATCCTCAGCAGCAGCATCATCATCATCATAGATGGGGATGAAAGCGCAAAGGTTTAAAGCGAAAGATGGAGGGCAAGGTGCAACTCACTTGCCTTGATTTCTTTACTTTCCATTCACTTCCTCTTTTTCCCTCTCTCCTATCTGCTTCCCTCTGCTTGCAGGGACTGGAGTCATAGCGTCAGGAGGGGACTGATGAACTCGGAGGGGTTCATCATTGGCCTTTTGGGCTTCGAGCGGTCCCAGTTCCAGTGGCGGTGGTCCACCACTCTCCCTTTCCACCCGTCCTCGACAGGGGAGGCGACGAACACGGCGACGCCAACTCCGACGCCGACGCCGACGACAAACGACGACGAGACCAGGGCCGACGCCGAAGTCGGCGACGAAGACACCGCCGACGCTGCGTAAAGCAAAGCCGACGCCGGAAACAGCGCCGACCGCCGACGCCGCCGCCGCCGCCGACCACGACTGGGGGAATACGAAGCACCGATGCTGCTTCTCCCCAGACCTCTCGGGGATCTTCTGACCCGGGGCAATCCAGACCCCGGTCAGCAGGGAACCAAAAACTGCAATGCAGGAACAACAAAAACTGCAACGCAGGTCTTCGCAAACCCGGGGCAGCCAATATGCGCGGCCGCCTCGCGGCCACGAGCGGCTCGCTAACCCCGGTCAGCCAGGCATTGACCCCCGTCTCTTGAGCCCCGAACCTCTCTCGGAGTGCACGCCCCGGGACAAGGACTCCGAGGAGTACAGACACGGCGACGAGGGGCGGACGGCACTGATCCTCGGTTTCGCGATTCCGCCTCTGCGCGACGACGGCCGCGGCCACTCCCTCGAAAACTGCCCTGGGCCCTGGAATCGACAGGGCCTTTTTTTTACCGGTTCCGGTGTGCCGTTTTTTTTCGCTGGCTCCGACGCCGTCTTTTTTACCGGTTCCGTCGCCGTGCTTTGTCCGAATCCGGCTCCGGCTCCCCTCCTGGAGCCTCTTTCTTGCTGCCGTTTCCTGTCGCCGTCTTTCTTTTGCCGCTTCCATTTCCAAGGGACCCTTCTTCGGAAAAAACGGTGTGAAAAAACGGCCCTGCCGTTTCCGGGGCCCCGGACTCGGGCCGGGCGAAAGGGGGGGATAGCAGATGGGGGGGGGGAGAATCAGCTCACATAGCCGATTTTCCCGGCGCCTCCCGGCGCCGGAGGCGGCCATGTATCGAGGAAGGGGCCCTTCGGCGGGGCCGAAAACCAGCTGCACGCAGCAGATTTCGTACCCCCCCCCTTACCCTTCGGCGGTGGACAAACCTCCCTTTAGTAAACCTCCCCTTAGTGAAAACGGCCTGGGACCGAAACCGACGGACCTGGACCCGCCAAAAGAACGGCCGCGACGCCCTCTCGCGAACCGCAAACGGCCAATTCACTAACTCGACGTGTCAGGGTAGGAGGTCTATCAACCCCCTTTCCCTGTCCCCCCCCCCCAGACCCTTGACGTCATGACTTTTTCATGACGTCGACCCCCAGAGGTCTCGACCCGTTCCCCGGGACCGGTTTTTCATCCCGATTCGTTTTTTGACGGTCCCGAGGCCCGGTAAGGGCCTCCAGAGGCCGAAAATCGCGAAAAACCTCCCGTCGTGATTTTTTCATGGCTCGAGGAGGTCTGGGCCTGCCGTCGGCCCCGACCGACCCCTCCCTTCCGGTCGGCCCTGCAGCCACCTGGGCCCGCAGGGCCTCGACCGTCGAGGGCCCCCCGGGGCCCCGGGGCCCGAGGCGGGCCTCGGTGGCCGAGGCCAAGCAGCGGCAGAAGAGGAAGACGCCATGGGCATCAAAGGGGGATCCTCCACCCGACTCCTCTTGGGCGCCCGAGTTCTCCGGGGCAACTCGGGCCCGGGGCAACTCGGGCTTGGATTCCCGAAAAACTAACCCGAATCATCCCTGATGATTTGGGGCTCTGGACGCCCGAGTTATCCGGGGTAACTCGGGCCCGGGGCAACTCGGGTTCGGATTCCCGAAAAACAAACCCGAGTTAGCCCTGACCCGAGTTACCCCTGATGACTCGGGGCTCTGATCCTCCACCTGGCTCGTCGCCCCTCGCCCTGAGCAGAAGAACAGAAAACGACATAAACATAAACTGCTGGCGCTCCGCGCGGATCTTCCTTGGATCTGCGCTGTTAACCCCCCTCCCTGGCGCGCCAGGGGCGGCGCCAGGGGCGGCGCCGGAGGCGCGGAGGCGCCGAGAGGGGGCCTCCAGCGCGGATCCGAGAAATCCGCGCGGAGCGCCAAACATTTAGGCTCATGGCGTTTTTTTCTGCTTCGATCACAGAGAGAATTCTGGCGCAATCCCCCAGGTAGCACGCAGCGTAATTCTGCTTGCACTCAGAAAAACGTATACGGCAGGCTCGGCGATCTTCTGACCCGGGTAAATCCAGACCCAGGCTAGTCAGGCCTTGCAGAATCCTGCAAGATCCTGCAAGATCCTGCATCCAAACCCGGGCCAGCGCGACCCTGGCCCTGCAGGATCCTGCAAGATCGGGCGCTCTGGCTGACCACCGTTTGCATTGACCCCCGTCTCAAGGCTCCCGATCTTCTTGGGCTGGGCGAAAGGGGGGGGATAGCAAAGGGGGGTTTTGAGAATCAGCTCACGTGGCTGATTTTCCCGGCGGCTCCAGGCGCCGGAGGCGGCCATGTATCGTGGAGTGGGCACGGCGGCGGGGCCGAAACCAGCTGAATGCAGCAGATTTCGTAACCCCCCCTTTCCTTATCCCCCCCCTTCCGTCCGGCCCGATCTTCTTCGATCGCAGAGAGAATTCTGGCGCGATTCCCCCAGGCAGCACGCAGCCCAGTCCTGCTCGCGCTCAGGAAAGACGCACGCGGCAGGCTCGTGCCGGGCCGACCCCGGCGTTGGTCCCCGACCTCGCGGGGGTCGTCCGTCTCTGTCACGGGGCCCTGGGACACACAAATGAATACACACAAATCCCAGGATTCCCCACATTTTCTCATATTTTCTGGGTTTTCGTCTGCCCCCCCCCCATTGTCCATACTTTCCAATATTTTCTTTGGAATCGACGATTCATTGTGTCTGTGTGTTTTTTCCCCTCCTAACTCTGGGACGCCAACGGCGTTTAACGTTGAACGCCAGCGGCGGGGTCGCCGCCGGTCGACACGACACGAACCTACCTTTAGGTCGGGTATGTCCCCCTACAGGCAGATTTTGGACGATAAATGAAAAATAATCCAAAACAACTCAAACATGATCAAAGATGGTCAAATAATCGTCCCCAGTTTATCGTTTTACTACTTTTGATAATTCCACCTGTAGAGCGACATGCCCGACTTAAACCTACCGTACCTGGAGGGCTTCCCCCTGCCGCCCACGAACGCCACGTCTCCCATGCCGTCATGCTGGCTGGCTCTTGCGGATCGAAGCTGACCGACTTCAATCGACGCCAAACAACGCCATTCGAAACTGGCCGACGCTGAATCGACGCACATCAAGCCAAATCGGCGCTGTTTCATCATGTATCACCCGCTAATGCACGCGAATGCACTTTCACGGCGGAACTGCAAGGACATACGAAGCTCGCATGATTCGCTACTGAAGCACTGTGAAGCTTCTGGACATTCCTATGATCCTCCTTGGGGCCTCACTCAAGGGCCTCAAGGGACATCCAAAGAAGCCCCGAGGCCTCTTGAGACGGAGGAGGGTGCAACTTTCTGTGAGGTTGCGGTCACGATTAGCAGCTGGCAGGGCGCAGTGAGGAGTTACTCGGCCAGACCGTCCTGGACACTCGGCCAGATGAACCCAGATAGAGCCAGGAGGATGCAGCAAGAGCAGGCTAGCAAAGCAGGGAAGAACACCAGTGAACTGCAAGAGCCGATGACTACTGTAAATCAATCTCCCAAATTCTCGCTCTCCCTCTCCGATGATCGGTGATCCTTTTTGCCCAGAAACGTAAAAGCGACTGGATCGAGCAAAACTAGACCTTGAAACGGCGGCATCGCCCTTCCGTGCAGCGGGGGTGAAGGCTCCACCTTCTAGAATAATTAGCTGGGGTCGAAATCTATCTGGCGCAGGCAGAAGAAGCTCCTCGGCCCCAGGCCCTGGGAGGGAGGCGCCGCCGTGGCGCGGTCGCTTCAGCAGGGCCTGCCGCACCCGGCCTTGCCCCTGCTGTACAAGAACTCCTGCATCTGCTTGAAGCTCTGCTCCTCCGAGGCCCCGCGCCGGAACGACGGGAACCAGTCCGGGTGCTGCCGGAGGCCGCTGCCGAGGGCCCACGTCACGAACTCGTGGCAGCGGCCTCCGGGCATGGGCTCCGAGCAGCCGCCCCTGCCGGGCGCCGCCGCTCCGGCGGGCGCTGCCGCTGCGGCCTCTGGCCCCACTGCCTCCGCGGCGGCCGCCGGAGCCTCGGGTGGCGCTGCCCGGGCCTCGGCAGCGGCCGAGCGGTGGGCCTCTGGTGCGGGCGCTGGCGCGGCCGCCCCTGCGGCTCCCAGAGCCCCGGCATCCGCCTTGGCCCCGGCCTTCACCTCGCGCCAGCGCCTCTGCGCCACCGCCTTCACCTCTCGCCACCACGGCCTGGTGCCTGCCGCCGCGGGCGCAGCTTCGGAGGTGGCCGCAGGCGCGGCGGCTGCGGAGCCCTTCGCGGCCGTCGCTGGATCCTGAAGGCGCTGGAGCTCCTGCGTCGTGTGCTCCGCGTCCAACTTGCCAGCTGCCTGAATATCGTTCAGCAGCGTGCGCTTTTCCGCGATCAGAGTCTCAAGGGCTGGGGTGTCGTCCATGGCCTCAAGCGCCTTGAGATCTGCCTCCAGCTTGCTGGCTTTCTGCAAGGCCTGGAGCTGCCGCGCCTTGAGCTCGGCCTCCATCTTATCAGCTGCCTGCAAGTTTTCGATAAGCTGGTGTTTTTCCTCGCGCAGCGCCTCCAACGCTGGGGAAATGTGAATATGGTCCATCGCCTTGAGCTCCGACTCCAACTTTTCGATCTCATCGGACCGGGGCGGCCGCTCATCGGCCTCCCGCTGGCGCTCCCGAGCGAGAGCGGGCCTCGCCTCCTCTGCGGGCGCGGCCGGTGCCGCCTCCTCGCGGGCTGCCGCGGGATCCTGCAGGCGCTGGAGCTCCCGCGCCGTCTGCTCCGAATCCGACTGGTCGGCTGTCTGCTGTTTCTCGATCTGCTTGCGCTTTTCTGCGCGCAGGATCTCCGCGGCTGGGGTGGTGTCCATGGCATCCAGAATCTTGAGTTCAGCCTCCAATTTGTTGAGCGTCTGCTGGTTCTGGCGGTGCCGCGCCTTGAGCTCTGCCTCCAACTTGTCAGCTGTATACAGGTTATGGATCAGCTGGCGCTTTTCCGCTCGCACCATCTGCAACGACGGGGAATCCTTCAGACTACCCACCAAGCCACCCAAACCCAACCCGAAGTCGCCGTTTGACCTGCCAATGTGCACTGGGGGGACGTTCTGGAAGATCGAGAACGCACTGCGGAACCCGTACACCACCAAAACCAAAATTTGGTGGTGTCTGTGAACTTCGGGTTGGGTTGGGTTGGTTTGGTGACCAGTGACCTGCATGGCCTGCAGTGCCTTGACCTCTGCCTGCAGATCGCCGATCAGAGTGGATCGGGCAAGATTCTCCGGGGCTGCTGACGCAGCAGCGTCAGCCGGCATTGCATCTTCAGAGAACGGTGCCAGGGCAGCCTCCAGTTCTGCCTCCTCAGTTGCGAGCGCGGCTGGCGCGGCCTCCTGGACCGCTGGGGCTGGGGCGTCAGCGGCCTCAGCGGGCTCCGCCTCTGCGGTGCGCGTGGCTGGTGCCACCTGTGGCTTCGTCTCCTCAACAGCGGCAGCGGGGGACTCAGGCGGAGCCCCCTGTGCCTCGGCGTCGGCCGCCTCCCGGATCTCGTCGGCGGCAGGCTGCAGAAAGCCTGCGCGGGGAGGCGACGTCGCGGTGGAGCACGGCCTGCCACAACTGCCCTTGCCGTGACTGTGCAGAATCTCCTGGACCTGCTTAATGTTCTGCGCGTCCGAATCCGAGAGCTTGAACGACGGGAACCAATCCGGGTGTTTCGCGATGCCCTCGTCGAGGGCCCACATCACAAACTTGTGGCAGGTGTCCCCAGGCACGGCGTCCAGGCAGTCGCTGGAAGGCCCCGCGCGCAAGAACATGCCCTCGCACGGCCGCAGGGGCCGCCCGATCAAGCCTAGCAAGAGGACCGGCGCGCGCATCATCTGGTTGAAGGGAATTGCGAATTGCTTGTGTATGAAGTGTGCGTGTGTCAACAATGAAGTGCGCGCGTCCTTGCTAGAATCTGCGCGGCTCCTCGGTCCGTGAAGGCTGTGACCCCGGTGCGATGCAGAGGACGACGACGCGAGTGGCGAGACCTGCTAAGTGGCAAATCCTCAAACACTATGGGCGCGATCCAATTTGTTTGGATATTCCATTCTCCAAATGTCCAACCCGCCATCACCAATCCCACCAGCCCTGTGGGCGCGAGCGGTTTAGAGCGTGTCCTCTTCCAAACCCCCTCCTTCCGACCCCCCCTGTTTTCCTCCTCCCCCCCCCTCTTGATTGGGAAAACCCTTTTTTGGGACGTCCCCTTGTTTTGATCGATCCCCTCGAACATCACCCCAAGATGGCACCCGAAGCTCCCAAAGGTGCCCCAAGACGGCACCAAGAGGTGCCCAGGAGGCCACAATGTTATCCCAAGAGGCCCAAAGATGCGTCCCTGGGAACACACAAGACGCCCCAAAACGCCCCGTCGAGAGAACACAAATCATTCAGTTGACGAAAACATGTGAACCGCATGTTGGCCCCTTGGTTGGCGGTGCTCTCGACGGCCCTGTGCGTGAGTGGTCTAGGGATCCCACACCCCATTATTTCCCTTCGGAAAAGGGCGTACCCCTCCCCCCATCAACCCCCTGGTTCTGAATGGAAAGGGGGCGGCGAAGGGCTAGAACATCCAAAACAGTTTCGGTGAAAAGGCAAACATCATACATGTTGGGGAGATGTTGGCCACATGCTGGCCTCATGGGGGGGACTCAAATCCCACCAGCCCTCTGGGCGTAGGTGGTTGGTGCGGCCCGTCTTCCAACCCCGTCGTTTCCCCTTTCGGGGGGGTTAATTTGAAGGGGGTTGGGAGACCATACCATATTTTTCGCAGAAGCCGAAGCCCATATCCAAATCTGCTGTACCGCAGCAGTGCTAGCCCCAGAAATAGGAAATCGTCGCGGGAGCGACGGGCCATGTCAGGCGAAGATCGTTTCGGTCCCAATTGCAAGTAGTGCGCGTCGCGATAAGGCGCAGTCGCATGTTGGCGGATGGCCGCTTGAGCACAAACGGCCGCGGACAAACGCTCGCTATCTCTCGCCTTTGCCCCAATCCCCTGTAGAGTCGCGGGGGGGGGGGAGACGAAGCGCGAGCCCGCCGCCAGCCACACAGCTAAACACTAACCTACACAAAGTAGGCAGCAGCAGACGGGTTCAACATGGAAGGTTGGCCCGCGCGCAAGCTCCCTTGCAAGCATGTTACCTTGCAGATGACTGCTCCTCAGGCGGCTAAGATGATCTTGCCTGGCCAGCCCTGTATGAAGTCTGTCGCATTAAATCATGCTTGAAGGATTGCGTTCCTCCCATGACCAGTAGGCGCATGTCTCTGTAGATGCTCCCTGTGGTGTGGCCGTCCGCGGTCATGTCGCGAGTGCCACGCCACTTCGCACCATGCACGATACCTCGCTCCATCATCTGTCGCGCCCGACTGATGTCCCAAAAGTGTAAGCTCAGTCGGGTTCTTCAGGGCTTTGCTTGACAAGGACTTGGAGACACATTATGCATCGATGGTCAAAGTGACACTGATGCCCAGGCCGCCCATCTCGAGTAGATCCTTCAATTGAGTGGGAGCCAGCGGCCCTGCGCGGAGTTCGCGCAGAGTGACAATCGTGGGATAGCAGTCCTCCAAAGGATGGGCCGCCGCAAGTGCATCCTCTGGAAAGCTCGAACGGTCCCACAAGCGGTGAGACTTGCAGTGTGCGACAAAAAGATGGGCGACGGGCTTGCCAGCATGCCGTAAGTCCACCCCGGAGTAGGTTTGCCCCGCGAGTGCCATCGCCTTCAACCTCGCCCTCGGCATCTCCGCTTAGACGCCGGTAACCGGAGTCGCTGCGCAAGTCGACCTCGCCTTTTGGAGTCATCGCTTGATGAACGATCTTCTTGGGGCAGGCCTTCAACTTTCTGGCAATCGCGCTCGGTCGTCGCACGTGCATGTTGGTCGGTTCACGGGCGCGCTGTAGAGATACAACATATAACATCAACCACACCTGTGTGATCAGGGCGTGAGCCAGGGCACCTCTGAGGCTGACAAACATGTCAAGACCATCTGGGATGCTCCGGCGCCAGCGTCTGCTCCAGTAAGTTCACGATGTTGAATAGGACGGAGCTGTATTATATTTTCGTATTGACCAAGTGTTGGGCTTGCACGTGCCACAAGTATCCTCGACACACGTGACGTATTTGTCGATAGTGTCCTCAGTACCGGCCATGTTCATGCCATCAACAAGCTTGGCGGCAAGGGGGTTAGAGCTTCTCAAACTCCTGGGTCGTAAGACGTGGGTTTTAGAACAAAGCCTCTCGTGGTCTTTCTGAGCTTCAGTGAGAAACTCTCGGTGCGTCCTTGGTGCCGGCGCATGGTTGGAGGCACCGCAGGCAATGCTTCGACTCGTCGTCGCGCTCAAATCCTGGAAGGGGCACGAGCGCAGATGCTGACCCAGGCGGCAATGTAAAGAACACCACACGTTCCGTCTCCCCGGCTGCTTCAGCAAGTCCCTGATAGGTTAGTCTTTTCAGGTCAGCCATGTTGATGTTAGGGGAAGCAATGATCTACTGCTGCTTGCACGCTGCCGCGCCAGCGAGCAATCTCCGACTCGACCGCCGCGCCTTTCCGGAGAAAACTTCCACGTCGGACGCTTCGAGTTCCATAACCCCAGGAGTACCAAGCGTAGTCTGCTTGCACGTTCAATCTCGCCCTTGTCGTTCTTGACAAATTACCATGCGTGTGCGTTGTCAAACCATGTCTGGAATTCGGTATACATGGCTTCAGATACCTTGACTGGATTCGCCTGGATGTCGGCCTTCGCGAGGAGGTCGCCCTCCTTGACGACTGCATCCCGTGCAGCTGCTGCGGCCGCGTTTACTCGCATAGTGGTCACGCGGTCAAAGTCCAGTACTATGTCTTGCTATTCGGATAGGACCACTTTTGACATGTCTGCAATGAAGCAAAATTCTACAGATTGTCCGTGCCCGTCAGAATCCAATACATAACTGTCGTCTTCGTCCATGGAACACAATGGGACATGATATGTCCCCGTCTCAATATCATGTGGGCTACCTCGCGTGGGCAGGTGCCCCGGCTGTTCTTCCGCTACTGTGACCAGCACACGGTCGTCGGTAATCATATGTGCGGGTACAGTGTCGAGGTCGTCTATTGGAGTTGCCTCCAGTAGTTCGATTTCATATTGCAGTTCTGTGCACCACACATCCATGATATATGCCTCGAGTTCCGCTTCTGATTTCTCGGAATTGGCGGGGGGCCGCCCGTATTCCTGTGGTGGATCGGCTTCTGGGGCTTCTCTGGCGCCCTTGTCTCGTGTTGGCGCGTCTGTCAGCACTTCAAACTTAGCCATGTCTTGGTCGAAGCCCGCTTGAGGCATGGTGGACTTCAGGCACTGGGTGATCCTAGATTCTGCAGGTCCATTTAAACCGTGGATGTCTAGGGCAGTGCCTTCGGCTTCGTAATAGTGGAAGCCTGGGCCCACGTCGTTGTCATAGTGCACCATATGTACACCTGTCAGCACAAGCCACCGGAGGTAGACGTGAACACTCTAGGCTAACCTGAAAGACACTACATTCTCGATGCGAAAGAAGTTCCTGATGCGGCATTGAAAAGCTAAGTGTGCCTTAGGAGATAGTCGGTTCGCACTTGTCACCTGGGGCAATTCCAGGGGGTAACTAAATGTCATAGCAGGTCGCCCCTCAGGTAGAGCGGCTACGAAATGTCGACGCAGTCCGCAGTGCTGCGCTGTGCGAGCAAATTTCTCGAGCGATCACATCGTCGATATATATATATATATATATAGCGAATGTCGCGCGTCGCCGCATTGGACTTGCACATCGCGGTTCCCCACGCCCATGATGACTCGGCCCCTGTCGGCATCCTGTCAAAACGACCGGGAAAGATCCACTCCAGCCGCCCCGGCCGTCTTTTGTAGCGCTGGGACGATGATAATCAATCAGATCTCCTTCGTCATAGTACGGCTGACCAATGTTAGCAATCTTGGTCCGTAGTGCACGATTTGTTGTCGCTACCGCAGTGGCTTCTGTAAGAGCCTCAATGCTTACCCGGCGGATTGTCTGTTCTCGAGAACGGTCGGACGTTTCTGTCTGCTGTTCGGGGCCCAGAACAAGCAAATCGGGCAGCATCGCCAACTTCCGTCCGAACAGTGCGTTGCATGGAGACATCTCATTGTACATGGTAGACGCGCTGGCGGCAAATCAGGCTTCATGCAGTAGACGCGCGAACGCAAGAGGCATGTCTAACTTGTGAGTTCAGCCTCCAAAGGAAGCGTTGTAGTATACCACTTCTGGCTTCAATGGTCAAAGCGCGCTGCCCGCGCGCGCGCATCCTCGGCCCAGCGCCTTCTGCCAGAAGGACTGCCTTTGCGGCGTCGTTGTTGAGCGCGCCTCCCCCGTCGGAGTAGAGCGCTCTGGCGGGCCCGAATTGCACCCAGCACTGATGATGCGCATCTCAGATGTTGGTCACGGTTTTATATGGCATCTCGATTCCAGAGCCACACCGAAGGCAACGATCGATTATACGAAATACCTGCTGCTCCTGTTTATAGAACATCAAGTCGCATTCGACTTCATCCTGGAGCTTGCCAGGTCGTGCAATAGACGGCATGACGGCATGCCCAGGCTTGTCCCGAGCCCCGCACCCCCGAGCATGCATCACGTCGCCTGGAGGTGCTCGACGACCCTCGCGCACGTTAAGCACTGGCGGCTGCATGTCAAGCAAATGGAGCCCCGCGCCCATCTTGTGGAGCGGGTGAGCTTCTTGTCATGTTTCCCGAAGTGCGCGTGCTAGGCGTTCCTCCGGGTGAGGGTTGGTATTGGTGACATGTCGTCTTTGTTTTGGCATGGTTCGAGGGCTCTGTGCCGTGGCTCTTGGTGGACTTGGT